GCACTCATTACGTGGCAAGGGTTCAAATGGAAATGTGTTCTCTGAGCATTTATGGGTTAATGTGACGTGGTATACACCATATGAATATCGTTTTCTATTACTTTTAAGACAGTTACGACAAATACTAACAATTTAAGAAAAAAACTTTTCAAAAAAAAAAAATTTCGCAGACCTGTGTAATCAATACTACTATTTGTTTCTTTCTAATCCTTTGGGTTTCAATAAGAATCAGATTTCTAATGAATGATTTAGGATGATAATGATGATGTTACGACCATGTTCGATTTAAAAATCCAATTTAAGAAAAGAAAAATAATTCAGAGGTGTGTTTTACAATATAAGTGAAAATTAGAATTATTTATAAGATAATGCTACAGTGGAAAGAAAAATGTTAAAAATAATTCTTTTAATGGACAATGTGCACATTATTTTCGTTTTAGTCTTTGAGTTCAATGCTAACAATATTCGTCACGGTCGGATAAGGTACGGACCCCACTTTCTGCTCCGCTAATTGGTATTTCCTTCCTGCTATGGAGTATAGTATTCACGGTTCGAATCGTATGTTTAGTTTATTATTAATATTACGGCAGATTTTTCGCATTTTCCACACTAGAAGGGAAATCGTAAAATGTAAAAAACGCCCTCACCAAGATTTATTTAATAGTTAGTGTACAACACGTGTTTCCGCCGAAATGTGCACCCTCAACAAAAGCAAAGCTCTTATGGCTTTTAGTAACTTTCTACTCTTGGTAAGTTAATAACTTAAGTATTTTCATACATCTAATACCATAATTGAAAAATTGAATTTTCAAAATTCCTTAATTTCGGTAATAGAAAGGGTAGTTTTCAAAATATACAGTATTAAAAACAATGAGACATTGAGTAACCGCATGTTCCAGACATTAAAATAAAATTATTCACTAAACTATTAAGCATTCAGTTTTAACACCCACTATCATTTTGACAATGAATATTTTACTAATCTTTATTTTGGAGCCAAGGTGATGATGTGCAAATTTTGGTTATTTTTCATAACTATGAATTTACTATAAGGGCATAGAAAAAGGCAATTCTATAAACACTGAGATTATTGTTTCAGGTATGTGGTGGTATACTAGCAACTGGAGGAATTTTGATAATATTCGACACCGAAAGAGTGCTACTTTCCAAAGTGCTTTCTACCGATACGCTTGGCGCCGGTAATTTACCTCATCCAGTGCTCTATTATGTAGCACTCGGCATTGTTATGTTGGGTTTCAGTTTGGCCGGTGTGGGCGTTTTGGGCTGTTGGGCTTCTTGCTTACACAGTTACTGCTTTCTAATAATTGTAAGTTCATCAATGTTTCATGCAGAATAAGGTCTAACCCCTTTTACGATAAAAGAAAATTGTAGTTAAAAAAAAAATCTCCGTATGCATCATCTACTTCTCAAACTAACAAAGGATGCTTCAATTTGCTATAATTTCACAATCACTACACACGCTACATATGTACTGCTACGTCAGGATAATCATAAACGAAAATTTCGTAAAATTCGAAATGCATTTTCCTATTACAGTCGAATTTGCCAAGTCCCGTCATTTTGCCCTTCTAAAGCCTCTATAAGTGATAAACATAAAACCTGTATAAGTGAGAGTCATTTTTCATGCCTGAACCTCTTTAAGTGAGATTGCTACTTGTCTATACCTCTATAAGCGACAGTTTACTTTTGCTATTTTATGACTCGTTCTTAAATTTCAAGAGACTCTTATTTCATTCGAATGACCAAATCTGCGAATGACCGAGTAAGTCTTTATTATTTTATTATAGCCAAATGTGCGTACCGACTTGTTTATCAATCTTATTACAGTCAGTTCATAAAAGCAGTTGCGAAGAAAGGTCCTGTACTTCCTCATAATGTCTAAACGAAAACTCAATGTGTTGTCGAACCGTATTTTTATAGACCTCTATAAGTGAGACAAATTCCTCCTGTAACTCTGTAAGCTAGAAATTCGGGTTAGTTAGAAACCTCTATAAGAGAGAAACAGATCGCGGTCCCTTGAGCTCTCACTTATCCAGGTTCGACTATACTTCTTACAGAATAAGTAAATAAACCAAAAATAGAACAGTTTCGCGTTGATAATGTCCACAGTAGAACAACTTTTGTGCTAACTGAGGCAAAACTTTTTTTGGTTTGAAAACAAATGGAAAGAAAAAAAAGGCTTTTTAGTGAATCTTTTTACGAAAAATCAGACATTCGATATAAGGTTGAACTTCCTTAACATTCCATCAACTAAATAAAACATAGGGGTAAAAAATATGGTAGAAACTGATGGCGTACTACCATTAGTGGCACCCAGGCCCGACGGTAAAGTAAAGTCCTTTTCCTATGCCATAAAGTACACTAAACCGGTAAAAATAAAATGCCCCCCCAACATTTGCCGCTCCTAACTGCCCCTATTTACTTATATTACTTACATCTTTGTTATACCTAACTCTGGGCAGACTCTCATTTAGGTGTTTTATCTTACTGGCACAGAAACATTACCAGTTAGGAACATTTGATTTTCATTGTATTTATTATTTTCTTCTATGATATGTTTCCCCATACTTTAAAGTTACTTTCCGTATAATTCCGAAACATTTCCACTATACCCACACACTAGAGGAAATATATACGTAATATTAATAATAACACTTACCCAAACCGTGATAATCAATTCTATTGTCGTCTTCCTGCCTCCAACTCTGAAATGAAGATTCACATTATTCTAAAAGATTAAAACAACAGTAGATAATTAAAATTCGACAGCAAGCATCATCAGGCGTATAACGTTATAATTAATCAATTGCTTTAATAATAATTAGCACAAGGAAATTTGTATTGCTGTTTCAATAGATGCGACCTTTTCTTTTTCATGTTCATCTTGCTGAATCATGAAATTATAACAAAATTAACTTTAATCAATTCAGATCATGATCTATTATTTTTTCGATAACTTCGAACTTGTTATTTCAGTACATCCTAATCATAATGGGACTTCTTGTCGGAGAATGTGCCGTATATACAGTTCTATGGATTTGGCCAAGTTGTCTAGGAATGGAACTACGAGTCAATGAGTTAATAAGATCGCTGAAAAAAAATTATGGAACCGCGGGAAACGAACAGTTTACTGTCGCTGTAGATCTCATTCAAAAAACGGTAATTAACAAAAACAATAGTTAAGTATTTAAAAAAAGAAAATATACACAAAGGACAAATTAGTAAAGGCTTTCGCGGTCAGTAGGTGAACTGGTACTGTTCTGATTCGGGTCTAAAAGTCGTCGTGTGTTGAAGTTTATTCCTAATATTTCGCTAGTATGATTGGTGAGATTCTTCAGAGGTTAGGAAGCAACTCCAACACACGACGGCGTTTAGATCCGAATCAGAACTTTTTTTTTTCGTGGAAAGAAAGACACCCAATCCTCCGTAAGACTGGGTGGTGTCAGATTCCCAAGGAAGGTGTCCTTGGACATACCGACTGGAACCTTTCTACCTCGGATCGTTATAGGACCAATTAAGGTCCTCTTCAACCGAATCAGAATAGAAGTCTACATAAAAAGCAACAGGCAGTTATAGAGCTGGAGCAGCAACGCAGAAAAGTAAATATTAAGAAAGGAGTAGGACAAGGATGCACACTATCACCTCTATTCTTTAATCTATGCGTCGAAGACGCGAACAACAAAATTAAATTCAGAGTACAACTGTAGGGATAGATATACAGGGCTAAAAGATTAGTATTCTTAGATTTGCCGATGATATAGCAGTATTAGCATCTAGCAAAGAGGAGTTGAAGATTTCAAAGAAAATGGAAGCGCTACTGACAAAACAGTATTGTACGAAAATAAATAAAAGTAAAACAAACATACTGGTATGCAAGGGAAGAAAAAGTAGGGAAACAGTGAATATAAAGATAGGAAACGAAAAATTAGAAGAAGGTACTGATGTTAGGACGGAAGGAGTAGTAGGGACATAAAGCAGAAGCTGATAGCGTAGGGTCGAGTCGCCTTCAATAAAAAGGAGTCACTTCTATGCTCGCGAACGATTAATTTAGAAATTCGAAAAAGATTTTTAAAGGTGTAAGTTTGGAACGTGGCGCTGTACGGATGCGAAACATGGACGAAAAAGAAAAGGTTAGAAGCGTTCGAAATGAGGTGTTACAGGCAAATGATAAGGATATCGTGGATAGGGAAGTTTAGAAATGAAGAGGTATTAGAAAGAATAGCAAAACAGAGGTCTCTATAGAAGTCAGTAAGAAACAGGCGAGATAGGTTAGTAGGACACCTTCTCAGACATGAAGGTCTAGTCAGAGACATATTAGAGGCAGAAACGGAAGTTAGGAGGGATAAAGGTAGACCTAAATTAGATTGGGTGTTCACAAATAGTTAAAGATGTGGGAAATTGTGCTTACGACTGGGCAGAGTCGGATTTCGCGGACCTATCGACTAAAACATCTTTACGTCAGGCCGTTATAGAATCAGTTAAGGTCCTTTTCAGCCGAATCAGTGGAGAAGTTCACTCTTTTTATATATTTCGGAAAAATGAGATCATTCAATGGATAAATTCAATTTCGCAAGATTTATTGATTGGATCTCTCAAAAAGATTGCATCTCTTTTGGTGTAAGGTATGCTTAAAAAGAAAAGATCGGTATTATGTTTTTCTCTGGGTGTCCAATTCAATTTAGACAGTGAATATGTATGTTTTAATGGTTGATTTAAAATAAGCATCATTTTTTAGTATCGCTGTTGCGGAATCCTTTCCTCTGACGAATATGAGACTTCATTATGGCACTTGCAAGATTTAGGACCAAAACCAAAGCTGTCAGTACCATTATCTTGTTGTGTTCTAAGAAACTTTGTTGAGCCCCAATCGTACCTTGACCCACATCCCCGTAACACTTCTCTTTGTCAAGCTTTAGAGATCAATAACCATGAACAGTACAGACATAATCGGGTAAGTACAGTGCAATACATTCATTTGGAAAATCGAAACTAACAAAAAATAACAATGTACATTTTGGGTTTTTGCACGATTTTGGTCGCATGCAAGAAGGATCAAATTTCACATTTTTTTATGATTAATCTTGTAAATTATCGCTTTAATAGGTACCGAAAATTAGACATTCATGAAGATACACAAATTTTATCAACAATTATTTACTAAAAAATTTTATTGAAAATTCTGGTGAAGGCGCCGGGGCAACTTAAAATAAAGGCTATAATTAAGCTATGTAATTATGTGTTTTTAGTTAATTGTTACTGTAAACTATCATTCTGATCCCAAAGATAAGACATTCATCAATCATGAAGGTATATACACTTAAGACACTCATTAAAAAATTTAGTGAAGATTTTGGTGGAGGTGCCGGGACAATTTAAAACAAAAGCAATGATTGAGCTATACTTCTTATTTCATTGTAAATGATTGATGAATTTTTTCATCACTAATTTATATTTCTTCGATGTAGATAGAGTGAGGGAGCTGTCAAAATTTTAAACTTCTAAATCAACGCAATCAAAAGATAATGACGTTTATACCGCCATGAGCGTAGATAGGTAAGGGCAATGAACGTCACTGCTCTCTCACTGATTACCCCCCGGAAAAGGCTCTGACAAGTCACGAAATCTTTATAAAATTACAGCTATTGAAAATTAGCACCCTCTAGGAAAATTTTTCGCTACGCCCATGTATGCCGCATATTTTGACACTCTCAAGGAAATGAAAATCTTTGGGATACCTACTTCCTATTGACCTACAATAATAAAATTTAACAAGAAGCATTGTATAATAGCACAAGTACAGGGAATAAACAATATAATAGTTACATTACAAAAAATAATTTTTTAATTGCAATATATACGTAATATTAATAATAACACTTACCCAAACCGTGATAATCAATTCTATTGTCGTCTTCCTGCCTCCAACTCTGAAATGAAGATTCACATTATTCTAAAAGATTAAAACAACAGTAGATAATTAAAATTCGACAGCAACCATCATCAAGCGTATAACGTTTTAATTAATCAATTGCTTTAATAATAATTGGCAAAAGGAAATTTGTATTGCTGTTTCAATAGATGCGACCTTTTCTTTTTCATGTTCATCTTGCTGAATCATGAAATTATAACAAAATTAACTTTAATCAATTCAGATCATGATCTATTATTTTTTCGATAACTTCGAACTTGTTATTTCAGTACATCCTAATCNCAGGGAATAAACAATATAATAGTTACATTACAAAAAATAATTTTTTAATTGCAATATTGTAATTGTACATTTCAGGGACTGATTTTTGAGGAAACCTTAAAATATACTCGGAAACAGCTGGAAAATCTTCGAAATTCGGTTCTCATGACGGATGAACTATTTCGTATACGGAACCCGCGGTGCGCGAGTCCGATCGGTCAAAAAATTGAAATGTACATCGTCTAATTTTCAAATTAACTCCTTTTTTCATTTAGTAAACCGTACATTCATCATCATCAGGTTGTTGTCCAGTCCTAAGACTGGTTGGACAAGCACCTCCACTCTTTATTGATGACATCCCCCGCGGTAGTCCCCGACGGAACATCCAAATGGGGGACTAGTCCGGAGTGCTTTACCCCAGAGGATGCCATCATTTAATTTGTATAGTTATACGTTTTATTTGGGATCATAATGTGGTGGTTTCCCTTTGCCTTCCACATCGCATTATTGTGCATCAGAATGTCACACTGATCCTCGTGATCTCTGCCACCCTGAGCACTGAAAGAGCTGCTGCCCTCTTTCAGGAACTTGTCATAGTTTTGTTTCTCTTTAAGAACCTTCCCATTATGGTTGAACCTATGGTCCGGCTCCTTAAATCATCGAAACTCGCAAGCCGATCCACCCACTCTTGTACAAGAGCTTTGTCAAGGTTCAAGTTCCGTCGGATCGGAAACTGTACATTAATTTACAAAAATTAAAACTAACTAAAAGCATGACTGTGACAATAGACACTCCTTTTGCAGTGATTCCCTTATGCAATGTTCACATTATCAAATGCAAAAAAATTGAAAATATTTTGCTTCAAACTACATTTTACGTAGCATAAAGTTTCTGGTTTTACAAAACCAATATTTTCGTTTTAGGGTTGTTTCAGCTACATCGAGGAATGGTACACGCAACACCTTTTCGTGTTTCTCCTAACAGGTTTAGCAATCGTTCTAATGGAATTTTTAGTGCTCCTAAGTACAATTCTAGCATTTACGAGACTGTGCCAGAGCCGCAACACAAAAAGGGCATTCGAAGAAGTTGTTGAACCTGAACAACCACAACCGAGAATTACCGAGAACATATACCACACAAGCATACCAAATTTGAACAGAACTTTTAGGCAACATTACAAAACATGACAATGGCCAAAGAGGCAAGGCAATAATGTTTATAATGTCAGTAAAGTGGAAGCTGAATCCATGCTGTGGTGATATTAAATATTAATATGATATGAAGAATAAGTTAATTAATGTAAATATATATTCATTTTTAATAAACTAGAGACGCATATTCTGCTGACGTTTTTGCTTTTCTTTCTTCTGATACTTATTTCAACATTTATAAATTTTACAATATATATATGTTTGTTTAATGAGTTTTTACAAAATTAATTACATCGTTGTAATGCATGATTATCAAAAATCGTGAGTGTTGTCTTCCTCTACTGTATGGTTCTTAGCATATCCATTAAAAAAGAAATTAGTTAAAAAAAGAAACACTGCATCGGTTGCGATTAGAACCCAGGCTACCGGAGTAGTACAGGGTACTTTTTGAGGATTTATCCACTGAACCAGCGCCGCTTTCTGTAAGTGGTGTGTGCATGACGTCACAATCGTTTTCCCGGCTCTTTCTTCAAGAGCCGTTAATGGCTCTCTAGCCACTACGTTTACAAATATTAACCTGCTGCAATAACCCGTTACTTTAGGCAGAAGCCTGTACGTATGTTTCTATGCTTTGTACAGCCTTCGTCGTCGTTCAATCTTCAATCGCCTCAGCAGTTTGCAGCGTCGTGCAAACTTCGACAATGTTCGTGTTGTCGCGCACGCGACGAGCATAAGCTCTCATCATTTCGTATGTGACAGGTGGCTGCATTGGCACGCTATGGAAAATGGCCGCACAGGCTCGAAGTGTGTAATGTCTAGTGCAGTGTTTATGTGAAAGGGACCAGTAATAATAGTCAAGACTTTGTCAATACCTTCGACAAAGTTCACACGGTTGACTTTCTATTCGAATCGTGGGCAGTATTGCCATTCATTCTTATTTAGTTCGATTTAACAGTAGCTAGAGTGCTGTGTTGTTGCTAAACTCATAACCTACCAATGTTGTTATGAATCAGATAGGAATGTGTTCGATTTGCGTGAATTAAAATACGAATAATCTCTAAACCAAATAGACACAAAAACTTTTTTATTTTTTTGTGGTGTACTTTCACGTGACTTCAAAACAACCTGTTATACTTTTCGCTCCGATGTCTGCATCTAAATATAAACAAACCAATGAACTCTTCAACAATACCGTAACCGACTTTTATCCTACGTTTCGAAAAGGATTTAATTTTAAAATGCACATGGATACAATGCAACGTTCGTTCACGTAATACATATTTGAAAACCTAAAATAACCAGCACAGTTTCCGTGGCGGGTTAAATATGTGCATCGGCCGATCTAAACTGTATTAAAAAAAACTGTTCAGTGAGGTCATGTTTGTGATAAATAATTTTTAATAAACATTATTGGGTGCAATGTAATGGACAAAAGTTAGTCTTTCACGCTGGAGAGGTCTAGCTCTGGCCCGGGGGGTTGCCTCGACGGAGGAGGGACCATCCCTCCCGGCGTCCCTCAGCCCCCGGGTCTATCGTCTTTGCACCCCGATGTGATAACCCCTAAGCGTCAAGCCGTCGTAGACAGGTGGGTGATTTCTCTTACATACACCGATATGGTTTGTATATACGCTGCACAATCCCAACAAACTTTCCTACTACCGAATTATCATTTCTTTAGTTGTGTCTTTATGCCTGGAATTCTAAAAGGATTCTTTTTGAATATGACGTGACGGTTAATTTATTAAGAACACGGCAGAGTGCAATTAAAACCAGTACTGACCAGTATCGTTATTGTATAGGGCTATTTAACAGAATTTATGTTTGTACAGCATTCCTAGTAAATTTTGACTCGTCTGTTATTTTATTTATTTTCGATACTATTTAACAAGCAGCAAGTTCAGAAATACTAAAAATAGTACGTAAGCAGGGTAGGTTATTGAATAGGCGCTGCAGAACTGGCAAACAAATTAGATATTGCCTTCTGTCGGTCGTCATATACGCTTCTCAGTAACCTTTATACGTATATTATTGAACTGGGCCGCACGAGGCAGCTCTGCGCACTGATTCGAATATCCATACCGCTCCTCTTCACACTCATTTACAGTAAAAGTTCCTTATTCACGGTTTCCTTATTCGCGTTTTCATTATTCGCGGGCGAAAAAATTGCAACCCAGTTCCTGTATTCGCGGCTAAAAATTTCATTATTCGCGGATGCAATCGGTAAACAGAAAACGATTCGGTGTCATTTATTAAAGGGATTGACCGCAATAGACCGCTCGTGCCTACTGTGAATTTTTCCGAAAATATGGGTTTCTATTCTAAACATTGTGATTTAACGTTGCGAGATAAATATCTGATTTTTTGTATGGTAACAGACAAAGGTTCACACTAACTCGGCACGTTTTTAGTTTTCAATAATACGGTCATTAATAGCTTTTACAAGTGCTTAAAGTTGATGCTTCTTGTATGACACGTATTTTCAATAGAAATTGAGAAATTAAAAAATGGCCTACGACAGGCTTTAGAACAAAGCTTTATCTATCTAACTACAAAATTTCAAACCTCTGTTGCAGACATTAAACTCATGATATCTAGAACCGATAAGCATGTTTTTACTCTACGGCGTGTGTACTACTGAATCCCCTTAATGTATCGGCACCTTTTGACTATGTACTGTTGGTACGTGCCGAAGCAGCTTTTATAAAAGATATAACCGAGCGGCCTAATTTGAAAATTCAAAACAAGCAAAAATCACTACTTTTGCTGACTATAACGATTAATTTTAATTGCGAATTTATCAATACATTGATTTTATTTTGATACATATTGGTTTCATTTCTGAACCTTAGAACGTATCCCCTCTGATTTCATACTAATTTACATTCACGGTTTCTGTATTCGCGGCATATTTATGGGACGTATACCCCTCGAATGAAGAGCTTTTACTGTACTGTCATAAACCAATGAATTCAGAGGGACGAGTGAGCTGCAGTCAATTCAACTAATTGACGATTTTTTATTTGAAAATTTATTTATATTCACTTTTATATTTTTAAGATGAGTGCGTGTTTATAATTATTCCATATTCAACTGAAGTCACTACAAAAAGTAAATACATAACAAACAAAATGCAAACATGCAAGGGCGACCGGTGTGATGCTGTAGAGTTGCAAAATTGTCTCAAAAATAAATATTAACGTTTTGTATACGATCTAATTATACTAAAGGTGATGACTATATTTTAATTTGTGCAGTCTCCTTTTACCCGTCGATCACTGCTAATTAGTAGACCAAATGAATTCTCCGAGTTACTAGCAGCCAGGTCGAGTGCGTCTCGGTATCATGTATATTACTGAACTGAGCCGCTCGAAATAGCTCTGCGCACTGTTTCGCTTCTCCCTTCATCCCCATTTACTGCCATAAAGCCACAAATTTAGAAAGGTCAATTAGCTGCATGTAAGTCAGCTAATGGATCGATTTTTATTATCTTACAAATTTATAGCTTCAACAAGGAGATTATGGGTAAATTTGCTTCTATTAATCGAAGGATTGAATTAACTTTTGCAGTAATATGAATAATACAAACTCCCGCTTCATTTCATCACGAAGCGCCACTGCACCCACTAATTTTTAATCCTGTTTTTAAGCGAACTTAGCTAAACTTCGAATAATCGTAGATAAAAAATAAACGACCTTGTTTGTAAACAATACTGCGTGCTTCGTCTCACGTATGTATCAATAAATAATTTTTACAAGTAGATAGGTACTTCTTTTTTATCCACAGTTAAGACAATAAAACCGTTGGTTGTAATTATTGATATTTTAAAAAACGTTTCGTTTTATTTTTAGATTCTCATTAAATCTTTTTCTTATCATTGCCCGTAGAAACTTTTGAACGCAATTAAAATTTGCAAATTTCATTCGGGATGGTTACAGCAACACATGTGCAATGCACCCACGTTAGTTAAACTCTAGGTGTCTAGGTATATTGCAAATTCGTTTTTAATTGCTGTTGCGATAATTTCTGCTTACACAATTCAAGTGTGTAATTACGATCAGGCAACGTCTTTCGAAATGTGAATTAAGTATACGAGAAACAATCTGCGACATACTTAATTTAATTGAAATATACGGATTAATGTAAAACTTTAAATTTCGTGTAAGCTGATATCACTGTATAATAAAACTAGATTCTACTCGCGGCTTCGCTCGTGTTGATGACGTAAATACGTGTCAAAAGATCATCCACGACTACATAAAACTAAGTTTTCTGTCCCGCGAGAACAGCATTTTTTCTTCTGGTTAAAAGGTACCCTATATCATTTTCTGTACCCCCGACAAAGTATCTACAAAGTTTCATGATGATCGATTGAATAGTTAAGGCGTGAAATTGACCACATAAAAATAATTTTCTCTATCCCTCCGGAACAGCATTTCCTGTTTGGATAGAAAGTACCCTATGTCCTTTTCTGTACTTCTGACAGTGTATCTATAAAATTTCATGATGATCGATTGCGTAGTTAAGGCACGAAATCGACCACAAAACTATTTTTTTTTATCCCTCGGGAACAGCATTTATATCTGGATAAAAGGTACCCTATGTCTTTTTCTGTGCCGCCGACAATGTGCCTACAAAATTTCATGACGATCGATCAAGTAGTTAAGGCGTGAAATCGACGACATAAAACTATTTTTTTTATCCCTCAGGAACGGCATTTCCTGTCTGGATAAAAGATACCCTATGTCCCTTTCTGTACCCCCGACAATGTTCCTACAAAATTTCATGACTATCGATCAAGTAGTTAAGGCGTGAAATCGACAACATAAAACTATTTTTTTATCCCTCGGGAACATAATTTCCTGTTTGGATAGAAAGTACCCTATGTCCTTTTCTGTACCCCCGACAATGTGTCTTCAAAATTTTATGATGATCGATTAAGTAGTTAAGGCACGAAATCGTCCACATAAAAACGATTTTTTTTTATCCCATGCCAAAAGCATGTCTTGTCTGGATAAAAGATACCCTATGTCATTTTCTGTACCCCCGACAAAGTGTCTACAAAGTTTCATGATGATCGATTGAATAGTTAAGGCGTGAAATTGACCACATAAAAATAATTTTCTCTATCCCTCCGGAACAGCATTTCCTCTCTGGATAAAAGGTACCCTATGTCCTTTTCTGTACTTCTGACAGTGTATCTATAAAATTTCATGATGATCGATTGCGTAGTTAAGGCACGAAATCGACCACAAAACTATTTTTTTTTATCCCTCGGGAACAGCATTTATATCTGGATAAATGGTACCCTATGTCTTTTTCTGTGCCGCCGACAATGTGCCTACAAAATTTCATGAGGATCGATCAAGTAGTTAAGGCGTGAAATCGACGACATAAAACTATTTTTTTTATCCCTCGGGAACGGCATTTCCTGTCTGGATAAAAGGTACCCTATGTCTTTTTCTGTGTCCCCGACAATGTGCCTACAAAATTTCATGATGATCGATTTAATAGTAAAGACCTGAAATCGACCACATAAAACTATTTTTTTTTATCCCTCGGGAACGACACTTTCTGTCTGGATAAAAGGTACCCTATGTCTTTTTCTGTGCCCCCGACAAAGTGCCTACAAAATTGCATGGTGATCGATCAAGTAGTTAAGGCGTGAAATCAATCGCATAAAACTATTTCTTTTATCCCTCGGGAACAGCATTTCCTGTCTGGATAGAAAGTACCCTATGTCCTTTTCTGTACCCCCGACAATGTGTCTTCAAAATTTCATAATGATCGATTGAATAGTTAAGGCGTGAAAAGACAACAAACAAACAAACTCGCATTCGCATTTATAACATTAGTTAGGATTTATAAGAAGAAAAAAAGTAAAATTGTTGGTCGGAAACTTTTTGGATGGTCTCTGTATTTCGGTTTTTTTTATTCTATCGCGTTCGTGTGGGATTTAATTGTGTTCAGCATTGCATCTTCGCTTTTGTTTCAGATTACGTCGTCGGATCGAATCGTACCGGCGACGACAAAACGACTGCATGCCGAGGTTCGATCAATCGTTCACCGGCCTCTGCGAGCAGAATTTCCAGGACACGTTGCAACTGAAGCAACGTTACCTGGACGCGAAAACCAAAAGGACTCCCAAGAGTAAGGAAAGTAAAAAACATCAGGACACCACGTCGCTCCAAAGCAGCGTCCACGTGGTAAGTTTTTGATCAAGTCAATTCAGACACAACACACAAATACACGATACAATTTTTAACATAATCTAAATAATACTAACATTGGAAAGCAGTAGGCGCAAGAGTTGCAAGAGGTCAAAAGGTTGAATAAAAACGCGATTTTCTTAGGAAACATGACATTTTTGCGCGTTTTCTTGGTATTTCTGCCAATGGGAATTCACGAAAATTGTACTCCGAGAGAAAGTATGATGATTTTCCTGGTTTCAAGGACGAAAGGGCAATATAACCTCCCAAGTAAGAGATTGCGTCCATCACTGTGTATTAGGAAATTATTTTAACAGTAACTGCGTTTTCTGTAGCACTTTTGTCCCCGAAATCAGGCAGAAACATCGTAAAATTGACTTCTGCATCTTAATTATTATTTATGCTATTTTTAATAAGGGTCAATTACATTTTCAAATTAATATACTGCATTCCGATGCTGTAGGCGGTACTGACAGATCAGTACTGTATGAAAATAAATAAAAGTAAAACTAAAATACTGATATGCAAGGGAAGAAAAAGTAAGGAAAGACCGAATATAAAGATAGGAGACGAAAAATTAGAAGAAGTGGCTGATTTTAGATACCTAGGAAGTCAGATAAGTGAGTATAGAAGGAGTAGTAAGGATATAAAGCAGAGGATAGCGCAGGGTCGTGTCGCCTTTAATAAAAAGAAGTCACTTCTATGCTCTCGAACGGTTAAATTAGAAATTCGAAAAAGGTTGTTAAAGGTGTATGTTTGGAGCACGGCGTTGTACGGGTGCGAAACATGGACAGTGGGAGCGGCGGAAAAGAAAAGGTTAGAAGCGTTCGAAATGTGGTGTTATAGGCGAATGATGAGGATATCGTGGGTAGAAAAGGTTGGAATTGGAAAGAATAGGAGAACAGAGGACTCTGTGGAAGTCAATAAAAAATAGGCGAGATAGGTTGGTAAGACACCTTCTTAAGCATGAAGGTCTAGTCAGAGACATATTAGAGGCAGAAACAGGAGTTGGAGGGGCAGAGGTAGACCTAGATTAGATTACTGTTCGCAAATAGTTAAGGATGTGGGCTGTTCTAGTTTTAGGGAAACGCGAAGTTTAGCTCAAGATAGGAAAGAGTGGAGGTACGTGTCCAACCAGTCTTAGGACTGATGACCTTATGATGATGATAATTCCGATGCTGTACAACAAAATCGTGGCTGAACATCTTTTTTTATTTTCGGAATGAATTTCTCATATGCATATCGTTCATTTTAATGATTTCTTTTGACATGCTGTTAAGGCAGAATGTTGACCGAACATATACATTTTGTTGATATTTATTTTTAAATCGCACGAGTGAAACTCCATAATTTGATGAACCCGTGGAATATCTATATTTTTTATCCACGTCCATCTGAAAATGTACCCTCCTTCTATTAAAATTGTAAACTAACTCTACGAATGTTCTAATTTATATGAAAAGATTACCGAAGGTATTTGTACGAATTTTCCTGTACCACGTCGTATTTTTCAAAAGTCGATTGCGCCCTTTGATGAATAAAACTCGCCACTAATGTATACATGCCCCACAGAGTAAGTGCGAATGTATATTATAATCCATGATATCCAGAGATGTAGGTACATGAGCATAGTAAGTAATAGTTTTTAAGTATCTTCTCGTCTTTGAAACCGTAAATGATGGAAATTGTTTAATTTTTCCGGTAATATTTATAAAATACCATTTGTGGGATTAGTTACTTCAGATTTTCTGGCTTCAGGGATAATACATTCCTTCTGAAAGTACATATAAAATTTTAAGAACAAGTTTAAATCCTTGTTTCTTCAAATTATATCATAGCTTGGTCTTTACTTGTTGATAGGTATGAAAATACACAAGTATTAATTAGAAATTATATTAAAACAATTTTCGAACTTGAATCAGTAAAAAGGGAATTCTATTTGGGCCTTTCGACCATTGGTCGACAAAATAACGCGAAACATGCGAGCTTTGGAACCACTGGGTCAAACCATAGAATCTTGGGACATAATTATAGTACATATTATTTCATCAAAGTTAGATCTTGTTACCTGACGTGAATAAGAAACGAAAAACAATAAATTCGTGTAAAAAAATTCGGACAGCTAATGGCACTCGTTTACATTTTCCTACAGTCCAACTATTTGCGATCACTAATCTGATCTAGATCTTAACTCCTGCTTCTGTTTCTAATAGGTCTTTATCTATCCCTTTATGTCTAAAAAGTGCCCTATCAATCTTGTCTCTCCCACTTCTTTTTGACATTTTCAAGACGCTTTTGAAAAACTAAAATTAGCAACTCCGGCTCTAGACGCAAATCAAAAAGAACGTGAATTTGAAGATTTATATTTCCAAATTTTATCTCAAGCGAAACAAGCACTACCTTTGCCTTTCTGAACTCCTGCTTATGTTTCTAATAGGTCTTTATCTATCCCTTCATGTCTAAACAAGTGTTCTATCAATCTTATCTCTTCCACTTCCTTTTGAGTTCCATAACATCCTCTGTTCTCCTACTCATTTTAAAGTTTTCTCATTCCTAACTTTATAATACCATATTTCTACCATCAACATTTCACACCCACACGAAGCCGCTCCGTACTTTTAATAATATTTTTCATATTTCCAAATCAACATGAGCTACATATTTTAAAATGCATTTGCAAGTTTAAACATGATACGTTCTTTTGTGATTTTTTTTCTTTTGTTGGAAGAATACTATAGGTACCTACGTATGTAAGTAGTTGTTTGCCAATAGGCGTAATTGATGACCTTGTGTATACATATGTTCACTGCTAACGTCGCGTCTATATTATAGATCCATCGACCAAAAATCTTTATTTCAAGGGTAACCAGTTTGGCGAATCAAAAAGCTTTTCGTATGCATAAGGCACACGTGTGCAGGGTTGGAATTGCAAAGTCATTCTGTTGAATATTAAGGTCCTATCGGTATTATGATCTTTCAAAAAATACAAAAAAATAAGTTGAAGAAGAAAATTTGCAATTTTATTCTCTTCAAAATTGAAACTCTGCGGCTTTTGCAGCCCGAAGAATAACAAAACTGACACGGAAATAGATATTGTTTGTAAAACTTTATAAAAAAATACCCTATCTACCTAATTCTCATTGTGACCTATTATACATTTAATACCGATTGGTTACTACATTTAGAAATCGTCGATTGTTTTACTAAAAATTCTTTAATTTAATTTCGATTTCTTCAGATTTCCCAGAGGTAAATAATTGAATATATATTGAAGTCTGAGCGTTGCTTAATTTATAATTCTACTTCACCAGTTTTTTTTAATCTATTTTTTCCTTCTTATAAACATCTTTATACGTACAACACAAAAGTCCAACACTATGAAACGTAGTGATTCGTCTTTGTTTTCAAGTCAGGTAGGTATATAATAAAACAAAAACCAGTTTTTTTTTTCGTAATAGACCAACGGTATTCCAGTTTTCGTCAGAAACTATTTGATTGTCAGATTAATTAGACGAAATTTATAAACAATGTTGCCATGGAAGGTACCCGTAATGAGTAGAATATTTGAATTAATTACTTTGTTTGTTTAGTCTTGTAAAAAACGCAAGTTATGTATTATGTCTTATTTTTAATATAAAGAAGCTATTGTACAACTTATGCACTGCGTTGCATCTTGATTATGTCAGCAAGACATGATATTATAAATACCCCTGTCAAGAATTATTTTACTCACTTATACAAGTGTATTGGTCTTTGCGACATCTCATTTGTGAGTCAATTTTCAACTTTTGTTTAAATAAAGTTTTTCTGTTTTTAAAAACGGATTTTTACTTTAAACAAAAATAACTCG